AGCGGCATCGGCCACAATCATGGCGCTCTTCAATTCACTAGCCATGTTGTTGTTCTCGTCGGAGTCGTTTTCGTGGTTCGGCATCTTGCTGGTAATTTTCCTTGGTCCTGCCTTGGTCAGCGCAAATGCATCCATGGGTCTGGCGACGCTATTCGGTTATTCGGCAGGGCATGTCGCTGTCTCGCCCGGCGGCGCGCTTGGTTCTCATCGTTTTGCTGTGCCGTGGAAGGCTGCGCTGCTTCCACTGGTGACGAGCATGGCAGCTACCGCCATCACAGGCGCCAGCATAGCTGCACTGTCCGGTTTCGACATTTCCTTGATGCGGAATGCGTACTTTCTTCAAGATGGGTGAGCGACAGAGAGGGGGTACATCACGACATGAGGGGGCACTTGAGGGTGAACAGTTTGCCCACGACTTCCGATACTTGCTAACCACGCGCATACTCGAGCGATGTATAGAACGTGTGGTAGTGATATATGTGTTTTGAGTGAACTGGGTTGGTGCTGGTTTTGGGAGGGCCTGGACACGTTGCTCTCGCGTGATAAAATAGGACGAGCGGTTGCGAGGGCGAGTGGGTGGCGGAAGGGGTACCTCGCCGCATGTTTGGGTTGCCTGATCTTTTGTCACTGCTGATGGTTCTCAGTTTGAAAGGCTGAACTAGACGAACTTTTGGGACGTGGTTGCCTGATCTTTTGTCACTGCTGATGGTTCTCAGTTTGAAAGGCTGAACTAGACGAACTTTTGGGACGTGGTATTTCGTAACACGCATTGGTCAACTCTCACTGCCCCCCCCCGGCATCGATTACTCCCTTTAACCTCCTCGAAACTTCACGGAGCCCAACCCGCAACCCACCTGTCCTTGATAGGTGGTACTGGAATCTCACCAAAGGCGCACATGTTCACAGCCTTACTCTCCTTGCACCCGCACTTACTCTAGGCCTGAGGTTGGAGCCGGCAACGTTCTGTACAGGCTTCTGGGGCCTGCAGTGCTCTCGTTTGCTGCGCCGCTGTTTAGGTGAGAATCCATATCCATCTATAATCTTCTTGTTCCTGTTTTTTTTTTGCTGTGCAACCAGTCGCGCACGTACGATGGCCTTCAGTAGGCTACCGCGTAGACTAGTTTAACATTACAAACAAATTGCGCTGAATCTTTATACCGTCAATTAGGTCGAGAATCTAAAAATGCTGTTTTTTCAAAAAAAGAAAAGAAAGTTTCTAGAGACTTAAAATACCTCTTTATTTATTTTTGTTTTTCGGGTTTTTGTTGAAATAACAGATTGCTGAATAGTTGTTTAAAGGTCTTTCAAGTGTCAATTTAGATTTATTATTTTTTTATATTGTTTTTGAAGCCGTTTTAATAGTCATGCAGGTTTCGAAGATTTTCAGCTGGCGAGTACGTGTCACCTCGGCCACCTCCAAAGAGATTTAATACATCGATGCTCTCGTTTTCCACGATGCTCTCCTTTTCCACACTGTTGCCTTGGGGACAAATTGCCATCCGTCGGTCAGTTAGCATCACTTTGATGTTGTACTCCGAGGTGAAGGCCGGGTGCAAAACTAGTTCGTCGCCCTCGTACGCATGAGGTATCCCTCTCCCTCTCTAGTATTCAGAACTCTGGGGTATCCTCGGTGAGGACTTGGCTCATCCATTCGCAACTCAATAACAGAGTATTGACTTGTGCGGGTAATCTAACCATGCGACTTGCCACGACTACGACGACCTGCCCATTGCCCCCTCCACCTGCTGTATACCATGCTTTGCATTTCCAAAGGATGCGTGGGTTCATTTTGGGTAACGCGAGACCGGTGCTGGCGGGTTCCATATTCTGCGCTGCGACGTCGCTCTTAGGTATCTCCCTGATGTCCAGGTAGCCACCGTATCGCTAGTTTATGCGGTAGTTACGCTTATCCATGGGCTGAAACCCTCAGCAATTATGCCACACGACAATAACGTTATGAAGGTTTCGCTGAGGTTTGAAGGATGTACTCGTAGCAAAATCATAAACGCAGGGATTGTGTATCGCGGGGGATTGGTAAAGTGTCGATGTTTAAGGGTTTCGTATGACATCATGGCATAGGTATGGGTCGATGGATTCTATGGTGTAATTCGGAGTTTGGGTTTCTCCACATACGTATGTGCACATTCGTGTCTTTGTTTCCAATCTTCTTTCTGTCTGTCACCAGCAATATCATCCACACCACATTGATGCAATGACTGCCAACAACGATGAGTGAATACATGATGTGTCACGGCCTCATCTCATGCACGAACGCTTCCATCCAGGCTTTCCCAGAGCCCCCCCAGTTTGTCCGATCGGAGCACCAACACCCATCTATTTCTGTGTAGCGGTCGTCCCACGCTCGCCAGCGAAACCGTTTCAGGTACGTCGAGGTTATCGCTCTTCACTCCTTACCGACACGAGGGAATTTTGTTGTGCACACGGCCGACGTAATGCGATTTCAGGCTACTGGGTGTTCCCAAGGCTTTCCAGGTGGCATTTCGGGCCGAGGCACCACCGTCGCGGGGCTCCAAGATTCGGAAGACCCTGCGCGTTTTGTTCACATGGCCCGACAGGGAAAAACGCCTTACCGTGGCGTCTGCGCTAGGCGTCTACAAGATTCCGGCGATCGCTGGCGTGCTGGTCTTGACAGGAGTACTTGGCACTTGCTTCGGCCCTTGGGTGCTTGATGCGCTAGGGTGAGCTAGTTCGACGCCTCACCAACTGGACTAGTTTCAGGAACCACTGGGAAGGGCGAAGTCGAAACTGATGGACAAAGAGTTCGTTGGGGTACATACAATCGAAGTGATGTTTTGGCTGTTGATCAGATGCGGAGGTTAGCGGAGGAAGTAGAGTTGGATTGGTTGTTGAATGAAATTGAGCACGAACCATGTCACAATTACTATAGCACCACATCGCCGTAGCAGACGAAGCCGATATACAACACGAGGTCGAATAGGTGTAAAAGGTTTCACACGGCAGCTGTCCTTCGCCCTAGTAGTAGACTTTCGTCCGGTGAAGGGATTCACGAGTAGAGGAAACAGGATGGTGGCAAGCTGTAGCGGCAGGAGTTTTCGAAATCACGGGCTGTTCCTTTTATGTTCGGAATTACAAGCTGTTAGGGCTGAAAGAGTCAACGCTGCCTCTGCGGGTAAACAAGCTGTGATAGACCATAGATCTCTCGAGTAGGATTCCCCATACTCCCTCCATCCTCAATGATCTCACTGCGCCCCCCCCCCTCCCTCGTCTATTCAGGGCGAAGGACCCGGTGGTCAGAGCGATAATTCAGGGAGGTACCTCGAGCGTTTTTGGCATCGAAGCGGTATCAGAGCCACGAGACGTACACCGAAAGAGACCTGCCAATTCCACCACCCGGGTATCCCCGTCCGCTCGCGACGTCTCAACCGTCGCGATGGTTCTCACCGGCGCTGCTGGCACGGTGTTGGTAAACATCCCGTGGGTTCGGTCGGCCTTGCTGTCGATAGCGTTGGGTTCGACGGTGGCGGGGGCGGAGATGCCCCTATTTCCATGACTGGGCTACGGAAGGACCGAGATATACTTTCGTTCGTTTCAAGCGCGTTTTGGTTGTTGGAATGTGGTGTACGTTCGAGAATATTACGTTGAAAGTCTCGGCTGAGATCTACGGACGCTGACGTTGTTGACCAACCGTTGGCGTCCGTTCTAGGAAACCATACTACAGGAGGCAGTCGAGGTTGACGGGTCGCTCCGGTTTCACGTTCAAAGAGAATCGGAATAGTGCACACGGCTTGTTTCACCGATGTTTGTTTTTCATAGGACTGTGTCGGGGATAGGACAAAGTTGCACCTACGAAGCTCTCTTTGAGCCTTTTCCGGGGCAAGCGTGTAGGTTTAAAGAACTTGCAATTTGTGGTGCTCCGTGATGAACACGGGATGAATAACATGCTTGCTGAACGTGCTGAATGAACACCTATCGACAAGAAAATTCGTTTTTCACTTGATCCGCGGGGAGTGTTTGGGGCTACTGCTGTCAAAGGCACGGATGGATCGAAGAGACGTCGGGCTAATAGGAGTTAACAGGATATTGTGGGTGGTAATCGTATTTATGTTCATGTTATCGCATTCACGGGTACCGGCAGCCACACGTGCTCCCTTGTTGTCCATCTAACGATGTTCCGTCCATCACGGCGCCCACGGTTTCGGGTAGATGGTATGCAGTGGGTGACCATCGAAAGGTGCGCCTCACCGCTCGAGGCATTCATTCTTAAGAAACTCAATTTTCGAGGAGCGGCATTGCCCACAAAATGACACTCCAGGCTACCGCCTGTGATTCTCGCCAGAGCATTCACGAGCCGTAATTTTCTCTGGTCTCTCTCCATCTCCCGCTGGCGTTCTTCTTCTGACTCAGAATTCGTGATCCTCTTGAAAAAACTCCAAGCACTATGAGCATACAAGTCTCTCCATCTCCGTCTGGCGGTCGACGTTTTGACTCAGACGTCGTGATCGTATTTCAAATAACTCCAAGCTCTATCAACACAAGACCCATCCGTCGCACACAAGCAATATCGTGACTTCTTTTGCATGTCTGAAGTTTCAATTTTCGGCATATATTTACTGTAGTACTCGACAAAAGCTCGTCGTGGTGCTCAGCTGATGGAATATTCGCTCTTCATAGGGTCTGTGCTCGTTTAGAACTCTACATGCTTCTCTTCTTCTCCCTAGCATGCACCGTTACTTGAACATCCGAACTCATTTCAACACGAGAGCGGCTACGGAAATGCGATGAATCTGTTCCAAGGTCATGTTGGGTGAACGATTTCACAGCCCTGTTGTCTCGGCATCGATCGATGTGATTTCGGAACGAACACGACGCCGCCCATGACAATGCCGCAGAAATCCGTCGTGTAGAAGCCAAAGTTGTACCGCCAGCAGCACCATCACCGGCGAACACGTCGAACGCCAGTAGCAGCAATGGGTCACGTAAGTTGGGGAGGAGCATCGGGCGGAACAAACGCGGCGCGGGGAGAGGCCAGGAGAAGTTTGTGAGTTGAGAGTGAAGCCTCGGTATCATAGTATCGAATTTTGCTTTTGTTGCCGAGCTGGTCAGTGTCTTCACGCCATTCCTGTCACGGACACCATGCCATCAACCTGGACGACGAGTCAAAGTGAGTCGGCCGGGAAAGGATGGCTGGCCGTACGTAGCTGTTCACAACGGAATGCTTCTCCGCGGGGAACTTCAAACCCACTACCTGTTTTGCGCTATAGCTCTATAGGGTATTCAGTGCGACCGCCTCACATGGTCACTCCTTCTCGGCTGCCACTACCGTTTCACTGCCCACCTGGTTGATATCTCTCGTATTTGTCGGCTTCATCTGTTCCTCGTCTCCTTTCTTCATATTCCAGTGCCCGATCGAATCGTCATCGGTTTCCTTCGACTTCCGTGCTTCCTCTGCTTTCGCCTCTCTCTTGGCAAGCTAAGTATGAAGTACAACCCCGGGAACGGAGTACCGTCCACCAATGGAAGGAAACGAATGATTATAATCGAGAAAACCAAAGTTCGCCGGGTAGAAGTGACCGCTTGCTTGCCGTGCTTTGCCTGCCTCGCGAACGTTCTTTTTGTTCATTCTAGCACAGTTTGCTATTAGCGTATCCCAGCACGTTGTTTCTCATCAATATGAGGTTGGCGCGTCGCGATCTCGCTGCGTCCTGCTGCCAGCCACTTTTCTAGTGGGGAGTGCAATGCTAACTTGGGATGTGCAGGACTACAGTGGGCCCGAAAATACAAACAAACATAGAAATCGGCGGTACCTCGGAATTAGACAAGGTAGTGTTGAAGCAGATCGGACTCGGTGCCGTTGTACAACGTATGGAAAGTTCTGAATGACTTTAGGCATGAAACATCGGAAAAAGTCGAACCTCACCCATATTCGCGCTTCGCGCACAACGCAGAAGAGGCAACCCAAGACGCCGCAGACGATCGCCAAAATCACCGCGGTTGTGTTATCGTACGGTTCGCCTCCGTTACCAAATACAACATACAACCCCGGGACCAAAAAGCCTCCGATCAGCAGATCAGAAACTCCGTCGCGGTTCATGTCCACATTGGCCGCCCCCGTCCACCTGTGATATGGACCAAGTGCAGTATGTAGGTCGCCTTCGTCAGAACAACAGATGGGTGTGCACATGCCATGACCATGAGGCGATGCACCGCCCCTACGTGTACTGCAGTGCCACCTTCAACGGGCTACTAGGGCGTGGGTCACAATTATCGCATGGTTTGCTTGAAGGTTCCCTCTGACTTTCTTGTGTCACTCACTGCATCGAGGGTATTTTTACCGGTAACGTTGACGAGAAGTCTGCGCGCCCTAGTAGGGCGCCTCTTCCACAGTGGCTAATAGAAATATATTAGGAGGTGGCTGGGTCTCGGCTGAGCGGTCCAAGTGGAGGTAACGTCGACACTTCACTCGTCAAGTTGCGATAAGAACGCGTAGAGCTTCCATTAGAAGTTAGGGTTGTTCAACTACACCGAACGAGGTCCTAACCTTTGGACCAACCACTCTATGGCGAGGTCAGCTCTCAGTCAAGCGTGTGTTTGCGCAGGTGCACTACATGTACACACAAACATGCCACCCAAGTACGACACCCTAACCTAAGCCGCCCCCAAAACCGGCCTCAGTAACACCATTCCTATGCACAACCCAGAAATCCACGAACACCTCTCCCTCTGACAACAACATAGGTACACACCCGAAATGCCCCCCTGAGGTGGAGCCTGTTATGACAAACCCGTTCGATCCATCGAGTGCGGAAAGGTCGACGGACTCTCCCCAGGAAGAGACGTCCCCTTCTTCTTTCCACCCAAACACAATGTACGCAGACCCGGCTTCTTCCAGGCTGCCTGGGTCTGAGGTAGGAGCCCCGACCTTTGGAATGGAGGTCAAGACAACACACCAGCAGACAAAGCACAAAATCGAAGCGCAGGGGCGCGGCTGGGGTAAGGGCTGAGAGCATAGGTGTGGGTGCCGGGGCTAGTCAATAATGTGGTCATGAACCGGCCTTTCGGCCTCCGAATATCGGGTTGCTGCCAATGTTGTCTTGTGGGTGGATGCCTGGGGTAGAGGGCGTTGAGGCCTGAGCTAGGAGCACCACAACGTGCTGGTACCATGCTCTTCTCGGCTAGCTGTTGTGACAGAAACTGGTTGGGCGTTTTGGGGTCTCACAAGCAAAAACAAACTTGATTCTTGTTGTAAGTCCGAAATAAAGGAGTGGTTAACGGCGCGGGGAATATGGGGATACGTGTGTTTCAAGATATAATATACCTTTGATGGCCCAATACCAGGGCAAAAAAAAATGATTCATCTCGTGTGCACGGGTCACTCGAGGCAGCGCAACAACTGTCTCTCCTTACGCCCGAATCCCGCAAGGGTGACAATGCAGGTGACGTACTGCCGTGTCAAACGGTGTAAGATTGGGTAAAGACACGATTCGGTCGGATCGAGCGTACGGCCCATGATATCAGAGCGCTGACGAACAGGCGAGTGCCCGACTCGAGAGAGATTTAGGACAAACCGAAGGTCCGCTTGACGTGGATCCTTCTCCTACCCGTGTTAGGGGTAATGACAAACTCCATCATGCAAAACAAACAAGTCACTCTCTAGACTCCCGAATGATGTAAGTTCGGACGGCCACCCCCATCGCTTTTGGTAGACCGACTTGAGAGCGTAACGAGAGGAGCAATATTCAGTACCATAGAGGTCCTCGCATACGTATCTGATATTGAAACAACAAACTATTCATTTTCATGACACCAGTAACACCGGCTGATGGTTGAGAGTACTGATGTTGCCTGTTCCCGGACTGCCTGCTTTCGCCGGGTCAAGTCCCGCGCTACGGCCTCGCTCACCCAAATATCTGGTACTCCGTCCCCGTTGAGGTCCCCCGCCGGGCCCACACCGATACCCGTGGCGTCTTCCGCTCGCAGCCCCAACAGCGAGGTAGCCGTCTGTCCTTCAACGATGTCGGCGCTTCTGAGATCGTAAGCTGCGGCAAAGTCGCCCTCGGCCCTGCCGAACACCACGTACGCTGCGCCCGCTCGATATCTGCACCCCACGCCCGCCCGCGTGATCGCATTTCGTCCATGCGGATAGAGGTTGAATTGGGAAGGGAAGTAGGTGGGGACATTCACACCGATTCGGTTGCTGGCTATTTCGAAAGACCGGAACCTAGTATTGCATGTGTCCCCGGGCGACGAAATGAACCCTGGTGTGCTGTCATCACATTCTCAATGCAATGTTCGTCTTCCCAAGCGAGTGTGTCTATACCTCTGAGATCATCGCAACGTATCTCAAGCGTTCCTTTCTGGTACCCCAACCAGGTACTATGCACGACCTGGCCTGTCGCGACGTTGTGTATTCTATGTATCGCTCACGTTATGAAGCCCTGCAATTTAAGGCTTCAAAAAGAACACCGTCTTCCCTCAGGCACCTCACACAGGTTCACAAGCGGGCTTACCTCCTGTCAGGTACGTCTCCGAAAGCTCCAACGATGACATCATCGTAGCCGTCGCTGTTAACGTCCTACGGTGAATCGTGGAGGGTTTGTTCAAGCAACGCGTGCGGTCAATGGAAATAAAAATGGGCCATAGGAACGACGGGCGGGGGGAGTCGCAGGGGGATCGACGTGATGGCCTGTTTTTCTTCTTGCATGACGTCGCCAAGAAGAAAGGGTGTGGAAATACCACAGACATCGAACGAACGTTGCATACAGAGTAGGTGCTTGTCGCAGCCGTCGCTCTTGCCGTCTTACGGCGATTCTCGCGTCGAGTGTTTTCGTGTTTTCACGAAGGGATACGGTACACTTTCGACGTAAAACCAACGGGAGACGGGAACGTCGCGTGTGGACGAATTTTAGTGAGTTGTTGTTGTTCTTTGCTGCTGAGTATCCGTACGTTTCGACCGCAAGGACATATTACTATATTATACCAGGTCTACTTGCGCGCCTTCCAGCCGTTGGTCAATGCGTGCTTTGTCCAGTTGCAATCGATCTCCTTTCAAACAAAGTAAGGACGGCATACATCGACTAAATCTACTACACTAGCGAAACAGCCTCACCCCGATTCCCGCAACGGAGCTGCCGGCGTAAGCGTCATCCGAAGGCCCAAGGATACTGAAACCGACTGTCCCATCCAGATCGGTGTCAAGCATCACCGTGTCAGAATCGGCCAGGTTTTCCTATCGATCGGAACATAGAACATCCATTTGTCACGGCGTTGTGTGTGGCTCAGCACGTGAACACTGGCGTCGTTATTGCTATAAAGTGCGTCGTCCAATACACCGGACATCTCCCTCTAGATATGGGCCACTGTGGGTGTTACCGTTGGCGCAACAATGATTCTGTGCGTACTTCGCCGGGTTTCGGCGAAGTTGGTCACCTTGAGAGATCTCCTGCCGCGCACATGCTTCCTACGAGTACTCAAACTGTATCTGGGGCGTTTCGTACAGGAACGACTACCAGCCAGCCACCCTGAAACGGGTTTGTACAAGCCCTCCAACAATGATTAAAATCTTCTTGTCCTCTTGGGCCCAGACGTGAAACCTGTAGATCGATCTCCTACCCAACACGTGCTACACGTCTGCCGGGAGGCCGAAACATTATTTTTCCCCACACCTGCCCGAATATGACATACGCCTCCCCGTCGAACTCCCCGGTGGTTCCCCCTTCCGGTGCTCCGATGATGAAATCACTCAATCCATCGCCGTTCATGTCGAACCCCCCGGACACAGAGAAACCGGATTCGTCTGCGCCGGCGGCGGCGGACGCATATTTCGACGAACATGGGAGAGGAGGGGGGGCGGGGGGGCGGAAAGACATCGTTCGCATGGACACTCAGAGGATAAGCTGTAATTCTGACTGCGGCTAGGCGTATGAGACGAGAACCATAATCCCCACAGCAACATCCCTCTATGTTTATCTCCGTCTTCTTGGATGGGGGTCCTCCCTGTGCGACATAGTAAGTGGAAGAAGAGACGTCTGTATGACGCCACACAATGTGGGGCTGCGACCCTTTAGTGCAGACGTAAACGTATTGTATTTCCGCACGCCTCAAATCTATCGGTTGGTTGGCGAGTTTAGGTTTGTCCGTGCCGAAAAACACTCCAAATACGTATTCTACCGTGACATGGAAGTCGACCATTTATGAGAAGTTGGCGAAATTCCACGGCTTCAAACGGCAAGACCATTGCACAGCTGCCATCTCAAAGGTCTCTTTCTCGGAAGAACCAATCGAGCAAAGATCATGAAACCCGCCAATAATCACAAACTCGCCTGTCAAAGCCCCCTTAAACACCACCACGCCCTCGTTCCCTCCGGTCACGTCGTCCGATTCCGTCAGGTTCACTCTACTCGGCAGACCGGCACCACCAAACACCAGGTAGGTGTGCCCCTGATACACCGCTCCGGCCGTCGGGCTACCGACAAGAATGTCGCCATAACCATCCCCGTTGACGTCTCCCGCCGAGGACAGCGGGTTCCCGGTGTACTGCAACGATAGTTGCCTGTCAAGCGTGTCGGAGATCTGTGTTGTCGGGGGTAGGTGGGTGGGTGGGTGCGGAAATCACGGCAAACACGGTGTCGTGTGGGTTGTTCGTGTCGGGATATGATTGGCCTACCGTTTGGTTTAAGAACGCCTCCCGCCATGCCAATGCCCCTCTTTCCCCAAGAGAAGCCATCGGTGATCAGAAAGGCCCAGGGGTATCAGGCGGGGGGGGGTTGGTTTTGTTCTTTCCCCCCCTGCCTTCCCCCCCCCCCCGGTGTTTGCCATCGGGGTTGGGTTTTCGTCGCTTGGCAACGACGTTGTAAAACAAGCCGCCCCCCCCGGTGTTTGCCATCGGGGTTTGGGTTTTCGTCGCTTGGCAACGACGTTGTAAAACAAGCCCCCCACTCGGTGTTCGCCATCGGGATTGGGTTTTCGTCGCTTGGCAACGACGTTGTAAAACAAGCCAATTCACTTCGTGAACTCGGCAACCAGGTTACCGTCTTTTTTTTTACCTCGTTTATTTTTTTTTTGGCGGTAACCATAATGGTGGTCGAGTAGATCATGTTGTGCGGGGTCGAGAAACCTCACTCCGCGCAACGGGGGATGGTCGCACCACGTTGTGTTAAAATGGTCAAGCTTCCTCGAGGCAAGTTACACAGTGCTTACAACTGTCTCTGGAAGTGAAAGCACCAGAAAATAAATTAAGTCATACGTAGCTGTCATCCGTACGCAAGGAAGTAAGCACAAGATGCCGAACACCCTTAGCAGGATGCAGCTCACCCTTCATGCGACTCGCCAAATACCTCACGGCGCTTCGCGCTTGGTGATGTGAGAGCCTGGTCCGGTGAGAACCCGGCGTGCTCCGTCCCGGCTTTGTAGGGATGCGAGGTCAATGGTCAAACGACTACGGCATGCACGACTATGAGTACACCCCCCCCCCCTGCCTTCGACAACGCCGCGGGGTGTTCTTTTCACGCAGAGAGATTTTTGCTTCCCACGGCGCGCTCTCAAAAACGTAGCTTTGGCCGACAACCCCGACAGCATGGCGTGTGTGCTGTATTAAACCTTGGCTCTCAAGCATGTCACAGAGTTGGTACGACATACGCTGTGGGCCGGGGGGCGGGACGAAAGCATGGCATCGCAAGAGCCGTTGAAGAAAGTGACAGTTTATGGGCTAGAGGAACATTTCATCGTCTTTTCCAATCAAGAATGTCCGTTCTCCATATCACCGCAGTACAGATGATGCCTCTTGCGTACACGGCCGACTGAGGACCAGCGACCCACATCAGAGGTCTATCTCACCAGCTTCGCGTAGAGCTCTATTTCTATCGACATCCCCGAGAGAGTGAAGCCGTCGACCCCGTCGAGCCCTCCACCACCCCCGGCGCCGAGATCGAGGAAAGAAGCGTCGTACGCTGCGGATGTATTAGTGCCGTACACGACGTGGGCCGCGCCTTCGCTCAAGTGAGAGCTTCCGTAGGAGCCCACCATGACATCCATCAGGGAATCTCCGTTGACGTCTCTGTCGAGGGTATGGCGAATCAGAAGGAGCGACTTGTGCGGCACATAGGGTATCATCAGGCCGAGGTTTCCATACTATTAGCAGGCATGTCTACATTTCCACGTTTGGTCATACGTTTGGTCATGATTGCGCGGCACCCAAACAAGTGGCGTGAAGAGTGTCTACCTGTGTGGGGAGTCATAAGAAGGAAGACGTGTGTGTCTCGTTGAATCATAAGGTTTCGTCTAACGATACGTTTGTGTGTTGCCTCATACGACCGTTTGGCGTTCGTTCTGAGATCTTCCCGCGTGTCCCTTGCGTACCCTGCTGCAGCCACGGCGTACCCAATGCTGTGCGAAAACGTTCCTCCCTCCCTGCCTGTCATGACAAGACCGGCGCTGTCGCGATCTTCCAGAGCTGACACGTCAAAATCCTCGTCGATTCCCGAAGAGTTCCCGTACACTACGTACGCCCGGCCTACACCATCGCTAGCGCCTGGCGTGTTCGTGATAGTTGCTGCTGTGTGTGTCGACAGAGTAACGTAGCACAATTTGATTGAGCAGTTTGAATCTCGGGACTGTCAAGCTGCAGCGTCGCTGTGTAGCCACATATTATGAGAATATTGTGGAATGTTCTTGGTCCTTTCTCCTTGGCTGTAGGAATGTTCTTCGTGGATGATAGTACATTAGCCCGAGGATTTGTGATACGTGGGAAAGTGCATTGGTCCGTTCCGTGTATTGTTCCGTGTTCGGTGTATATGCGTGATCGGGCAGATGCCCAATATGCGTGATCGGGCAGATGCCCAAGCGTGATGCTGCTGGGTTGCTGTGCACCCACCCAGCTCACTCCACCTTTTGACCTGTTCTCCTGGTCCAAGGTCTCATCAATACAACATCTTTTCCCCAGAAGCCACGTGTTTACCAACACGCTATAGCGAACCAGTCGACTGCTGCTTGTCCCCTTGGACTGTACGTCAAGACTGAACGGAGGAAGATTGATCACCTTGCTTCGTGATGAGTGGGCCTGGTGGGGATCATGTGGATGACCCACCTCCGGGTGATTCGCAGGATGTTATTGGTGGTGAGAGACTGGATTCGATTGAGACACTGTTGTCCCAGCTCACGAGCATAATCAAGTCGCTTGTTGGGCAACGAGGTGATCAGGTGGAGTCCTCTGTTTCATTTGCTGCTGCGCCGGGAAGCGGCGAAACAGAGTATGCTGGTGTGCATCAATCGGATGTCACTGGCAGGACTGTGGGAGGTACGGACAGTAGTGTCCAAGGCTTTGGCATGTCCAGCATGTGGGTTGGGAGTAGTAGTCTTGCAGACTCAGGCTTGAACCTTCGTGCAATTGTTGTTTGTCGTTCCTCTGCTGGTGGTAGCGCCAGCGGCGGAACCGACACCGGTTGGCATCCTGTAGATGCTACTGGCAGGACTGCGGGAGGTAAGGGCAGCAGTGCCCAAGTCCTTGGCATGTCCAGCGTGAGAGTTGGGAGTAGTAGTCTTCTAGACTCAGACTTGAACCCTCATGCATCTGCTGTAAATCGTCCCTCTGCTGGTGCTGCAAGCTTTGGTTCGATTGGAACTGTAGTAGGGCTTTGGGTAGCCAGTCTTTCGGTTCGGGAATGGTTAGTGGGACTTTAGGTAGTCAGTCTTCCATTCCGGGAATGGTTAGTGGGACTTTAGGTAGTCAGTCTTCCATTCCGGGAATGGTTAGTGGGGCTCTAGGTAGCCAGTCTTCCATTCCGCCCCCATCTACTCCATCGAGTGAGTGGTGGGGACGTGTCGCCAGTGGAAACACATATATTCCTGGGCCGGCATTAATAACACAGGAGAAACCTTGGGTAGGAGTCCTTTCAAAGTTCCCAAAGCTTCTGTTTTTGACGGGACGGACGTGTCGTGTCCGTCGTGGTCACAATAATTGTCTGTACTGAGTGCCGCAACAATAATCTGTATGAGGCTTTTGTTTCTGAGCTACATGTAGAGATTTCGATTGCAAGCATTGAATTCGATCTGACCCCCTGGGTAGAGAAAGGATACAACATACATGGGTGTGCTGTGCCAGACTGAGATATCAAGGTGGATTTTGTTCGACTGTTTGAGTAAGAACTCTCTCAATACCATGGCTAGGCATGCAGGTTCCCCCAGCAAGTCATTTCGAGTGTTGAAAAATCACTCTCTACCCTTGAGCCAGAGCACTGTCTGGAACCTTGGAGTTGGTGTTTGTGACTGCTGACATGAGTTTCTGTAGAGTTGGAGCATGTATTGTAATCTCCCAACTTGGGATATCACCTCTTTTCTCCCAGCGCAGATATTGATTGGTGGTGAGTCATGGAATTACCTTGCTTGGTGGTCCTGATGGTGTGATGACTGTTTTCGACGGACACACTATTTTTCAGAGCTTCGATGGCATGCTAATTAAGACTGCGTATCGTCTTGAAGATGAATCTGTTGGTTCGGTGTTAACTGCCCTCACTCCTTCAAACCCCAAGCATGAATCTAAGATGGATGTGAACGAGTTTCATAACATTTATGCTCATTCGCATGAGGGATTGCTTTGTACAACTGCAAAGCGACTAGGTATCGAGTTGACCGGTAAAATGCATGCTTGTACAGGATGTTCGATGTCGAAAGCATTCAAGAAAGGGGATTGCTCATGAAACAAAATGCAGATCAGACAAAAAGTTGGGCAGAGTTTTGTTGACCTGGGAGGGCGGAAGGACGTTGCGTCCGTAGGGGGTAAACATTACCCCATGATAGTGAAGGATGATTTCACAAGACGTACATGGATGTATTTCCTGAAAAGTAAATCAGACGCTGCGAGTGCTTTCCGGAGTTTCCTTGCAAGTGTGCGTGCTGATGGTATCCCATCATTGGTTGAGATTGTTAGATCTGACAATGGGGGGGAGTTTTTCGGAGGAGAATTTGCGTCCGTGTGCAACGAGCTCTTGATTAAGCAAGAGTTCACCCCGGCTTTTAGTCCCCAATACAACGGTGTTGTAGAGCGTGGTTTGGGATTGATTGAAATGGCTGCTCGTATTCAGGCAAAAGTTTTGTTTGGGCATGTGCAATTACCTAAGACTGATAGACTATGGGCTGAGGCGATGCATTGGGCTTGCGAAGCAATTAACCACACAGCTTGTTCCGCTAACCCCGACAGTAAGTCACCGTATGAGATGTGGCATGGTGAAGCTAGTCATGCTAGACCGTATCCGTTTTTGAAACCGGCGTACTGTAGGTGGCAGCGTCCGTCTAAGCTGCTACCGAAGGGTGAGGCTTGCTTTTATGTCGGTCTTTCGAGAAACCACCCGCGTGACTGTCATAGAGTACTTACTAGGGCTGGAACTATTCAGGAAACGAGGAATGTGACATGGGAAGCGTTGCCGTCACAACTCCCTCCACTGCAACTGTCTCTCTTGCCGATAGAGGTTGCAGAGCAGGGAGGGGAGGAACGTGACGACGATGTAGAAGCTGAGGTATGGCCGCTTTTAGGGAGAGGAGTTCCCCACATTCTTTTGCGACGTGATATCTCTGGTGGAACAATCGATGAGGTTGGCAGTGTTGATGCAGGCAGTGTAGGTCAACCCCCTTCTATGCCATCCGCCCGCGATTAATTCCCCTAGTAGCGCAGCTCCCCCTGTGTCTTCTCCAGCAGACGAGTTCTCCGATGAGGGAGGGCAGGGAGGGCCGGAGACAGGGCAGACAGAATCGGCGGGTCCGGGAGGGCAGGAGGTAGAGTCGGAGAGTCAGGAAGGGTTGGATCAAGAGTTGGTTGAGCCGGGAGGGCAGGAGGTACAATCGGAGGCATTTCCCCCTGCTACGCACGTACCATCCAATCGTCGTGCGCGGCATGAGCTTGCCAGTTACAACACTGCTATGAATGAGAATGTTGAAGTCAGAGAAGGCAGAACCCGTGCGCAAACTCGGGCAGTAAATCAGCAGAGCGTACCCGGCCTCATGGCCACTCTAGGACCCATCTCCGCATCAGAAATAATATTGGCACTCTTAGTCGAACAGAGAGCATCTGATGCAATGGAATTGCCGAAAGTACTAATTCAAGATGTAGAGTCAGAACCGGGTAGCTATCTAGAAGCCCGTCAATCAAAGTATTCCACGATTTGGGACGAAGCCATGTCTGTAGAATTTGAAGGCTTGTTAAGAGCAGGAACGTTTGCGTTATCAGTTAAGGCTCCAATAGGCTGTAACGTGATAGATGCTAGATGGGTCTACAAATGGAAAGCAGATGAAACAGGCAAGATAGTGAAGGCCAAGGCTAGGCTTGTAGCGAAGGGCTTCAAGCAGAAGCATGGTGTGGATTATCTTGAGACTTTCTCGCCTACTGCAAATGCTGCATCGATTCGTTTGTTGGTAGCATTGGCGTGCAAGTATGATTTGGAATTTCTTCACTTGAACATTGAGCAAGCGTTTGTTCAGTCGGAATTGGATCACGAGGTGTTCATGAAGTTGCCTCCTGGCTGTGAGTCGGTGACAGGAAAGGTAGTCCGTTTAGGCAAGAGTTTGTATGGACTGAGACAGGCATGTAGAACATTTCACAAGAGACTTGTGTCGGACCTGAAGAGGATTGGTTTCGAACAGTCTCTGTCTGACCCCTGCGTTCTTCGTTTCATGATGGGAGACGAGGTGTTGGGTATGATTGCGATTCATGTGGATGACATTCTGTATGCAGGAATTGAGAGGCTTGCCAAGATGGTTGTGGAAGCGCTAGGTGACTCTCTCCCCACGAAGAATTTGGGCGAGGTCAAGTTCTTTCTTGGTTGCGCATTCGTTCGCGACCGCAAGGCTGGTACGATTGAGATGTCTCAAGAGAGTTACATCAGGAGTGTTCTCGAGAGATTCAATGTTTGTTGCACCAGCTCGATCCCTGCTTCCCCTGTTAGTGATTACAGGTCCGTGATGGAGGATGAGGCGGCAGGGGATGTGCCGTTCCGAGAGGTGGTGGGGAGCCTGATGTGGATCGCCAACCAGACAAGGCCCGACATCTCAAATAAATGCTGTGCGGGCGGTGGCGAGGCACTCTCACGAGCCAAAGAAGAGCCACTGGAAGGCGGCCCAGAAGATTCTGAATTATCTTCTGGAGACGGCACATCTAACTTTGAAGTACAAGCAGGACACTATGGTAGACGTAGGCACGTTGGTGTACGTAGACGCAGACTTCGCCAGTAAGGCCACTGACCGTAGATCAGTTTCGGGAGCACTAGTTCTTGTAGCTGACTGTCTTGTTGCTTGGATTTCTAGGACGCAGAAATGTGTCACACTTTCAACAACTGAAGCAGAGTATGTTGCGATGGGTGACGGTGTGAAAGAGGCTCTGTTTGCCAACGGAATGCTCGAGTTCTTGAGGCCTAGTGAGAAGCTTGGTAAGATTCAGGTACGCGAGGATAACGAGGGTGCGATTGGACTTGCTGAGAATCCACTTAGTTCGTGTAACAGTAAGCACATTGACGTGAGGCACCATTTTCTTAGGAATTTGACAGAGGAGGGAGTGTTGGAAATCAGTCATGTCTCTAGCGAAGGACAGCATGCGGACATCCTGACGAAGGCTCTGCCGAAAGATCTTTTTGAAGTTCATCGTAGTTTTGCTCTAGGCTCAAGATCTGAGAAGTAGAGGTCTGAGTCGTGTTTCTTTTTGTTTGTTGTTTTTCTGATATATATTTGATCTGGTCGAAGACAACAGCCCCAAGGGAGGGTGTTCGTGATAGTTGCTGCTGTGTGTGTCGACAGAGTAACGTATAGCACAATTTGATTGAGCAGTTTGAATCTCGGGACTGTCAAGCTGCAGCGTCGCTGTGTAGCCACATATTATGAGAATATTGTGGAATGTTCTTGGTCCTTTCTCCTTGGCTGTAGGAATGTTCTTCGTGGATGATAGTACATTAGCCCGAGGATTTGTGATACGTGGGAAAGTGCATTGGTCCGTTCCGTGTATTGGTCCGTGTTCGGTGTATATGCGTGATCGGGCAGATGCCCAATATGCGTGATCGGGCAGATGCCCAAGCGTGATGCTGCTGGGTTGCTGTGCACCCACCCAGCTCACTCCACCTTTTGACCTGTTCTCCTGGTCCAAGGTCTCATCAATACATCTTTTCCCCAGAAGCCACGTGTTTACCAACATGGCGCTCCAATAACAATGTCTCCCACGCCGTCGCCGTTGAAATCTGTAGGAGTGCGTCATGTTGGAGAACGTCACAGCATGCCTACGATTCGCCCATGGCTTTGTGACGTGGGCATCCTCAAACGCATTCAGAATCGACATAATTGTAGCGAGCAACGATTGGGCAGCTCTGTACCGGGAAGAATGCTGCAGCGTCAGTGTGCGACTAATCCCCCGCCGGCGATCGATTGCACAACTCGCACAACAAAACCCTGTCCAGCGAATGTGAAGCATGGGTGCGTCTGCGTACAGTAGTACAGCAAACACCCGCGTGTAAGAAACGTCAATTCATGGTCGAGGCTCAACTTCTTATTCCGCCACCACCGTCGAGCATATCATTGTATATACGGAGTAGACCCACCGCTGAGGTGTGTTTCTTAGTCTATTTCTCTTTCGTTATCGCCAATATCTGAACCTTTGTTATTAAGCGCGGGCGGTAATTGTATGCGACCACGCGCGAAGCAGACCTTCCTACTGGGCTAAGCGAACATGTACCCTGGGAGTGTTCACCTGCACGAAACGGATCAATGTACGCTGTTCTATTGGCGTGTATTGGATGGAAGGTGTCGACTGTCGACTGTAGACGTCAACTATTTATTACAGAACACACGACAAGATTCTCTGTGGAGGGTTCGTTCGGACAGCAGGAACGGAGCACACAGCAAACAGCAGTTAAGTTAGAGCCTTGCTCCCGGCAAAATGCTACGCCAATGCATATGCAGTGCTTTCCACCTGTAGCTGTTGACAAGAAATTCGACCACCCAGCCGTAGTACTACTCTGTACGTTGGTGCATGTTTCGTTATGATACACACTGACTCCTCCATATGTTCCCTTACCGCCGATGGAGGCGCACGAGTATCCCAGCCAATCTTCGTTCATCTCGCTAGCGTTGTAGATCCGAGGGGAGCTCGACGCATTCACATTTGATTGGAAGGTTCCGGCTGCGGCCGCCAATGGACATAGCAGTGCCGACAAGAAGAAGCCTGCTTCGACGACCCCGCGGCGTGCCGGGCACACGACGAAAAGGGTCATTTCGACAGAGACCCGTTCTACAACAACGTAGGACAGGCCTACAAACAATCGCCGGCGCTACTCCCGCCACGCTGGTCCTGGCCAGTACACTCTGCAATATTTTGAAAGGTGATGTATGCATTTTTCGCAATTTTTTTTCGCAAATATGTCACGACAATCGCACGACCTTGTTGGAAGACAGCAGTCCGTTGGCTAGACTAGTCGTCAGTATTTTGACGGAAAATAACCGCCAGCGTCTCGAAACGGCATCAACCATGGGCAGGATACATTTTGGCCACCTCTTTCTGTGGAGCGGCAGAAACGTGCTGCGAAATACTACCATCATAGCAGTGTTGGGCATCTGCTCTTGCGAACGCTCAACAAGGCATGCTCATTGCTGCTGCCGGCTCTGCAAATATCATTCATTCTGAGTTGGATCCTGCTGGACTGGGTCCACGTGGTGGTCGGTGTGTGGTGTGTGGTGGGTGGTGGGCTGGTGCTCCGGTGCTCCGCGGCAGTCGTGAGCAGGGGTGGTCAGGTTTCTAGATGTCGTTGCATCCGCTGAGCCCCCGCATGTAAAGTTATAAAAAAGTTGTAAAGTTATTTGCATTTTCCAGAAATTCGAAGAACTCACCCGGAAGAAGGAGGGACGGGCAGGGAGAGAGCAGAGGCACCGGAGGGGTGAAGGAGGGAAGGGCACATCGTCACTTCTTCCGGGCGGCCCTGGCCCATCTCTCCGAAACAAGGGGTTACCAGGACAAAAGAGAGGTGAGAGAGGCGATGGTTATTTTCAATGCGCCCCACCTCTGTGTGCTGTGTGCCGGCCTGGTGCCGGCGTGCCGGCTCATTTCCCGACAGTCTCGCGCCCCGTGCGCCGGCCGTCGCCACCGTTGGCTCCTAGAGATTGAGAGAGTAACAAGTTTGTGGGCAGCACCATACCACACACATAGACACGGCCGGAACGATGCTGCTGTCGTCTTTAGCGCAGTCCGTCAGCGCAAACGCCCCTAAGGGCACACAAGAGAAGACAACCATGGCCGGAAGTGAGTTTCAGCCGCTCTCCCCACAGGAGACCTCCGCGTGACCGGTCATGCGTGTTTGTATTTGTTTTCCTAATGAACAAGCGAGAGGATTGATCTAGTTGTTGATAGGAAAAGCAGAGACTCTGGTGTTACAACACCATGGCGTTGTGTGTCGTTCGCCGAATGCCCTTGTCTGCTCTGGACTTTTCTTTATTTACCGATGGTCTCTCTCAAAGTAGAATCATTTCTGTTGCCGTTTTCAGGCCATGCGGGCGAACCGATGATGCACCCTATTGACGCATGTACAAGGGTTCTCCAGCTCACTTCCACCCTCTCACCGGTGATGTCATAAGTCTTGATCATAACGGAGTAGAAGTCAAGCACTTACGAGACACGGGGGAGGAGGGGTGTTTGGACAAATGTGCAGACGGTCGATGAAAAGTAAAGAAGCTCGGAGGCCACAGGTGAATCTGGAAAGAAACCGATACAGGCACTACTCTGTCCCGGGACTTGAACGCAAGCAGCGGTACAATATGTCCCCGTCGAAACCATTTTTTGTGCTCTATTCAAGGACTCGGAAATCGGTACTCACCCCATCCTTTGACTCTAACACTGACGTGCTGACGAACCCGATATGCGCCATCCTTTGGGCAAGGTGCTGGGGTGGTGTTCCTCTGCGCTAGGGACTGCTGCGCTTGCTACTCTACACACATGCACAACAACAATGACAAATGACAAGCACAATCAAGCAGCTGCAGGAGTCCTCGCAGAATAGGAAAGATGCATACCCTCCACAACATTGCAGCGCCTCGCGAACGCATTGAAACCTTTTTTCAAATTCGCAAGCAACCGCGGGCACATCCATCGGCGGCACGGCCCGAACGACGCCGCTCCTCTCGCCCACCCATGCAGATGACATAGCGTCTGTGCTGCTTCTTCTCCGTCGTCGTTTTGCTTCTTCTGCTGCTGTCACTGCTGCGATCTTTTCGTGTCGTTTCTTCAGGTAAAATGGGCAACACGCTCGGTAGTATAGCGCCGTAGTTTTTGTGTCATGTCCGCGCGTCCGCCCACGAAGCCAGTGCAGTGTGGTACCGGGCGCTTACTTGTCCTTGTCTTTCGCCAGGTAGTCGTGAACTACTATTTGCTACACCCGCGATATTTCCTGTAGTAACCCTGCGCTCTGCAAGTGCTCTACGCGGCTCAACATGTGGATAAGACGATCGAAAAGGGTCCTTGATTCCTGGCGACGGTAGCGAGTAGACTATTGTTGTTGTTGTTGTTGTGTTCTTGTTTTCTTCACATTAAACTCGTGTCAGTTGCTAATCCCAAAATCTAGCAAAAACTCGGCCCGTGATCACAAAAATGCTAAAGCCATCAGAAGATCTAAAGAACACGCACACTATTAGCAAGAAAAGGGTACACAAGCCCGAGGAGGTACACCTACAATCCCTGCAGCACGTTTGCGTGCTCACAACTGAACTACACGCCCACACACTACAATTCGACTACAGCAGGCGGCATCACCCCCCTTGTCCCGCACTTCACCAAAATGAATGTTTGTCGACTACAGCGTACTGCTGTCTGAAGTGCTGTCTGTACAAAATACCACCATGGTGTATGGTGCATAACAAGCTCGGGGCATGCAGCTGCTGTCTGAAGTGCTGTCAGAATGGTCCCGTGGACATACAATGAAGAAGAACATCAACCAACCAAAGCCATCATTGCAATTGACAATCGCCCGAATCTATCCAGATCATCTGTGTTAGACACAGCAGTGTAAACATCGGCACTGACTAGGAATCGTTCCACATTGAAGGGGTCTTCCACGATGCAGGTACACAATTAAGGCACCCGGGTTATCCGCGCCATCTCTGCCGCGTCTCTCTACAAAACCAATGACGTCATTACACACACCTAACACCTATATTTAGGGAAAAAAAAACGGAAAATAATTGACAACACAAGAGATGTTTGTCCGTGCGACACGGTTCGATGCCGTCCGCATGCTCCGGTGCCGCTTCTCCGGTGTCGCTGTGGCCAGTCCTAGCACGACCAAATTCGACCCGCTCCGCTTCGTACACGCTCTCGTTGCTGTCCTTCCCAGTCGGTTCTTCGCTTTCTCCCTCGTTGCACTTAGGGTTCTTGGTCTGAAAATTCTCGCGCCGAAGGGTCAACCAGCCCAGTCAGCTCGTCACCACCTGTCCCCTCCTCATTTGATGGCAAAACCAGGTTACTGAGACAGTACAGCTCCCTCTAGCAAGCATAGGGCCGTGTACATAGTGCCCGTCCACCTTTCTGATGGCGTCTGCCTCCGCGCACAAAGATGAGATGGGCATTGCTGCCTGCACCGACGGCCTCGGGGCCCGCGCATCTGCACCTTTGTACCTGACGCACCAGTGCCGACCCAACTCCACCACTACGCACGCGTTGCGGCGGGTGCGCCGTAGCAAGAAGGTATCGGTCCCTTGAGGATGAGTCTAGCCCTGCTCGCTAGAAAGACCCCCCCCCTCGCTTTGGGTCATGCCTAAGCAAAACCTTGCCGAGGCAGCGAGGGGAAGAAGGGAGACTATGTATGTCGGCGAACAGCTGCAATCTTCTTCCCACCTGCTGTCTACTACCAGCTGCCCTGGCTACTGTCCATCAACGCTGTGTGCATTGTTGATTTCAGCGGAGTTCTACATCGTTGCGAAGAAAGAACCCCTTTGTAGCATGCACAATATGCGGCTGTACGTTGAACAACATGCAAACCTATGCGCAAGATTTTGGTGCCAAATCAAATCATTTTGACCTGCTGGAAACCATAAAAAGTGCGAGCAAACCAGGTGTGTGTGCGATCAATTTTTAAAGATCGATTGTCCCGCAAACAGAGAGGCTGCAAATGCCGAAAATGGTGATTCTGGAAAAGCTCTGGCCGAGAACTTTTCCTTTTCCACGTGTCGGTCGTGTTTCGCACCCTCTCCGTTGTGGCGAGTCGATCTTCGAAAATCGATCGATCTCACACCAGTGTGCCTTCGCCCGCACTTTCTTACCGTATTTGTGCCATCAATAATGTTGGAGTATGGACCTGATGCATAAGAGCTTTGCAACCACAAGATAGAAATGTTAAGAGTAGCAGCATTGTCTCCCCCATCCCCCAATGGTCTAACAACTTACGCATGCAGAACATGAGTACGCCCCCTTCCCCTACGCCCATAGCCCCGTGCCATTGTCGCCCCCCTCGCTGGACGCATCCCTCTTCCGACGCCCCCTCCCCTCCCTGAAGACAACGTATCATGCACCCAACACAGCAGTCCCAGGGTCAAGGCTACACCCACTCCGATAGCGACGGTTCTTTCGACAATCACGACGGTGCTCCCCGTCCAAGACGCGGCATCAGCGGCCAGGGTTGTGTAAGCGATAGAGGCGCGGGGGCGTACCCACGGCGGCGGCTGGATGATGGCTCCGGGGGTCGGATGCCGCGGTGGCGGCATCGGCCTGCCACCGGCCACCGCGCAGAGGATCTGAAGACGTACGACCCTAAGGACATAGGCGAGTGCTTCGCGTGCTGTCGTCGTGTGCACTCCATGGTGGTGGTGCTTGTGAAGGGATTGTTGCATGTTGCCGGGACCAGCGGCATACTCTCTGAATGCGGACCTGTGTGACCCGCTCGCCCTTCCCACCGATACTCGTGACGGCGTTTCCCGTTTTCGTGTTGTCTGGCGTTCTCGCACATCCTGCTCCTTTCAAAACGGCGATCCCACGGAAAGGAGCAGAGCACTGACGAAGAGGATGCTTCCCCCTCCCCGTCTCCGTCCGCCTTTCCCTCCGACTCTCCCTGTTTCTCTTCTTTCCTGTGCTCGTGGGCTGACTCTTCTTCTGTGGGGGTAGGCCCGGATGAGTACGTGGCGCAGATGACAACGTTTCTGGAGCGGCGGTATCTGGCGACAATACACCGGACGATCGTCTCCGCCGTGAGACCAGGAGAAAGACTACGCGCTCGCAGTCAAGTGAGACGCGGACGAGGAGGTGTTTCGCGCGGTGTTTTTTATGCTCGCTTCCTTTCTCTTGTGCTGTGTCATGGCTGTGTGGTTTCGTTGTTTTTTCAGCGCGCCTTACGGCAGTATGTTATGAGGGCACGGCGGGCGGCCTTTTGGATGACGGCCCGTCGATTACTCCTCACATTTTGCGCAAGCAGTGGTACATGTGTACTCACTCTGTCGTGGATGCGGCCAAAAATTTGCGTAGACAGTTTGTCGACGCAACATGGGTGGTTTTATCATTCGTAGAACCTAAACCCTGTGTGAGGGACTCCATGCCCTGTGTTGTCCGCCCACCTGCGTGATGGACTGTTGGGCTCCGAGTGTGGCGACGTTTCAACGTGGTCAGAAAGAAAAGTACGGTGTTGTACAGCACAAAGACCACAACCTGACCAGAATTTGGGCGTAGATGCCGCGATTCGAAGCACGACACCATCTGACCCCATCCGACTGTTGCAAATTGCTCCCCACCCTCTACCGCCTACGATCTCAGCGCCCAAGATCTGATCCACTTCGACTCGCGGCTTGCCTACTTGGTGCTGCACCGTCCGGATCTCTTATTAGAGGTACGCGTACGTAGGTACGTACCCGGACAACGGGGAAAGCGTAGTTGGAGGAATTTCGCACGGGCGGAAACAGAGGAAAGGAAACACGCATGGTCGAAAGACAGGGAAGGGGGGCGAAGAGATAGAGATCCCCTTTGCGAAAGTGTGACAACAGTGGTAGCGTTGCCTGGGGGGTGTCGCGACTCCCCGTCTTGTCTCTTGCTGCTTTCTACCGCTATTTTGCATAAATCGAGCGGATTCGGACGCGAGTTGTGACTCGCGGTTTATCGCGAAAATCTGAAGAGCTGCATCCTCTTGCCGATGATGGTGTTGCAGTAGGGGCCCCGTCGCGGCCGGCATGGTTGTGCGAATAAAGTCACAAGAACGCATGTGGACGCTCGTTTTGTTTTTCGTCTAGCTAAGACTGGCGCCCTTTCGCCTTTAGTGCTCAGCCGGTAAACATTCGAGGTACGATGGTAGCTACGAGAAATGCGCGGACACACGCACGCACATGCCGCGTGTGTGGCTCACAGAGCGATCGTCTCTGCCGCCCGACACGCAGCTTATGCGCGAGGCACTGGGCGAGGTCCAAGCCCGTATCGTGGCGGAAGAAGCAGCAGAAGACGACAGCCGTCGCAATAGCAACAACAACAACAACAACGACAGCGGACGTACGCCGGTGCTGACGGTCAAGGGCAACGCGCACATCCGAATCACGCACTTGCCGCCGCTGTCCGACCTCTGCAAGCCGAACATCAGCGCAATCCGAGGCACTGACCTAGGGGTGCTCATCCAGATACAGGTTGGAAGCACGCGGGGTAGAAGGGGGGGGGGGGGGGATCGGGGTTTGCCTGCTTTCCCCTTCGGCCGTTGACCACCCGCGCGATCCATTTCGAAACAACGCGCCGGCAATCCTGGTATTTGAGATTTCCCCTACCGCCTCCATTGGTAGCACTCGAGGAGGCCCTGTTTTTGTTCCACGTTGCCTCTCGCAAAAGGCTGCTGTCGTTTCAAGTTGTAGGCAGATTCACTTATTTATTTGGCGCGCGCGGCCGGAGATGCTCAGGGTACCGTGATACGCAGCGGCGCCGCTAAGATGCTCGAGGTTTCGCGGGAGTACCGCTGCCAGAACAAGACCTGCGGCGCGGTCTTCAGCGTGCACTCCGACATGAGCCAAGGGAACCTGCTCGCGCCGCCGGTGAGATGGCGTGGACGCTCCCAGCCTACTTTTTTCTTCACTTCACATTGTTTCTTGGGTGTGCTCCATTTATTTTTTTTATTTTGCGATGATGGTCCTGAGCGTTCGAAAGGGCAGGTTTCGGATTTTTGGAGGGGGGGTACTCTCATGATTGTAGGCGACTTGATTTGCCGATACTCCTTGCGATCGATCTGCATCCTTTTTTTTTTGCTTCTCCGAACGCACACGAGGGGAACGATGCGGAAAAGACTCCCTGGGACTTGTCTTTCATTTCTCAACAACTGCGTCAAAGAATTTGCGTGGTCGCGCTCGACCGCTATCGTTTTCCACGGTTTGGCACCCTTTCACATGCAACGTCTTCCAAGGTAAACCCCGCGACCAGAGATTTTTCGATGGGAAATGGTTAATGTTCACTCCGCTAAGGACAAGAAATACGCCCCTGTTCCCCCTAAGTGGCTGACATACCTAGCTCCATACTTGTGTTTTTAGAAATATACATCAATACACAGAAAGACTAGTATCCGTTCGAGATATAACCACAGTCGAAAGGGATGTGCTGAAGTCTTTTTCAGTGAGTGGAGGGAAACCTGTGGTGTTGTAGTCGTTGCGACCCTGCCGTGTTGGGTGCCTGTTGTTGGGGCCGGGGACAGACAACGAAGTTCATCACGAACGGATACATGTGACGAATCTTCTGTGTCTTGTGGACTGGTCTCACCCTTTCTTTTTCGCGGAGGGGGATTTTTATAGGACTTTTCGAAGGATGGGATTTTATGTCTTTCCCACTATGCCATCGGACAGCCTAACGGGCTAACGTACTTTCAAGTGCCTCGCTTGCCCCCTGCCCCCCCGTCCTGCTGCCACACTCGCCTCTCGCGCACCAACGCCTGGCTCACGCATGGGCTGTGTTCAGGTAACCACCGCCAGCTCTCCCACTTTCACTTACCCCCGTTCACTCTCGTTGTCTTGCCCAATCATCGTCGTTTCCTTGTTATGTCCTGAATAATCACACCGCATGATAAAAAAAAATAGACTAGCTGTCCCGGAGTGGGCGAAAAGCAGTGCAAAGGGACGAGGTTCATGGAGCACGGGGACCACAAGTACAGCGATTACCAAGAGGTGAGGCAAGGCTACATATGCCTGACTCTTCCAAGCTGCGAGGGCGTTGATGTGTTTTTGAGTGCACTCGCATGATATGCACGGTGCAGAGTCGACACAGGGCGTGTGCATGTGTATGCTGGACAAGGTTCATGGAGCACCAGTACAAGGCTACGGGTTGTTGTTGTTGTTGATGATGATATCGTTGTCCTCACATGGACGACTACTTGTTTGCTGCGACGTGCTGTGCTAGTACTCCAAGAACAGTATATGCATGTACATTTGTTTTGCCATGCAAGAGTAGCACCTTGTGCGTAATCTTGGACCATCCATTGCGGCCAAGTTACCTGTGTCCGTAGCCTTGAAACAATGCTCCCCGCTATCGAAAGATGGCCTTTGGTTGGGCGAAGACCAGCGGAAAGTTGTATTGCGTCCCCGACCTTGCTTGCGCGTGTCGCTTTGAATTCCCCTCCTTACCTTCGATGCGCCCTTTGCCCATGCTTGACAAATCTTAATCGTTGACGTCCTCTCAGATGAAAGTGCAGGAACAGGCGCAGAAGCTAAGCGTCGGATCTATCCCCAGGTGAAACGAGGCATTTTTTCGAACTGTTGCGGGACACCACTATGAAATGGAATTTTCTCACTAGCCACCACACTGTTGTGGAAAGAAATGTGTCGACTTCCTGTTGAGGGATCACACGACGGGAGGGCAGTTCGTATGTACCGCTCAATGCCTCAAGCAAACTTTTGTTGCAGTGTCACCGCCCTCCAATGACGTGCTGCCGGTACTGTAGCGTTCGAAAGCGGTTGGACTTACTATTCCCGGTCCCGTCGTTCGTAGATATTTTTGTTTTTGTCTCGTCTACGGCGATACAACCTCATTTTTCGGTAGGGGAGCACAAGAATCTGGGAGCGCCTTGAGTCTCCCCGTAGGTGTGTAAGGGCCGGATGCATTTGCGGGCGACAGCAGCAGCGGACAACGGTGCCCGATTGCAACACGAAGTTTTTTTTTCCCGTGTCTTCCGGATGGTTGTTCATAGAATCTTATTGGCTTGATTCCGAAT